AAATCATAATTTTTGTTACTAATGTATAATAATTTTAAAAGCTCCCCTATATGGTAATTTCCCCTTTTAACGTTTTAAGGCAACTTCTTAAAAGTGAACTTAAAACTCTTTTGGGAGTAAACTATTTTAGTAATTTTTTAGTATTTTATAAAAAGATACGTAGAAAAGTAAAAAGAGTGATTTAACACCTTATAGTAATTTTTTGACTTTTTGATTAAAATATATAGTTGTCAAACGGGATTTTATTATTAATAAAAATCTCTTTTTGTTAAATATCATTTACACATTTATTTTTTTTTTTTGGCTAAAAAATCAATTCTAAAATGTCATTTCAAAAGTCAAAAAAATAAAAAAAATATGTCAAAAAAAATATTTTTTTTTTGGATTAATTATTTTTGTGTTTGATAAGTGGGAGACAAGGCTAACATTGGGACTATTTGTTGCAACTTTTAGGGGTGATTATAATTTATTTTAATTTAGAAATTTGTATCAGACTATTTAGTGTAATTTTTACTTATAACTTATTAGGCAAAAATGGATAAAGTAAACTAAAAAAAAATGATTATTTAAAAGTTAGAGGTATTTTTAACTTTTACTTTTGAATTATCAACTATTACTTAAAAAAAAAGCTGTACCAAATAGGTATAATCCATGTCTTTTTACATGACTTTATGAATGAGAAGCACTAGAGCTATAAAATAATTTTTTAAGGTCATACTAATGACAATTTAAAGACTATCAATAAGAATCACAACATCAAAATATTATAATCTTTATACACATTTACATATTTTAAAATATATTTTATATTTATTCTTTATTTATCTTAATACATTTTAGATTAAAAATAAATTAAAAGATTGATATATAATCTTTACTAATTTTGAAACACATGTTGAAAAATACAATCTTCAATGAGACATTTGTCAAATTTATGGTTGGCTGTGAGTATAATAAAAAAATAAAAAATCCAGATCAGGCGCCGGCAAATTAAAAAACTTCATAAATATTAACTTTTAATTTTTAATTCATTTTGAATTACATCACTTCCCACATTTTTTATATACTAAAACATAAAAATCAAAAATTAAAAAATTAACTTTTACCCAACTTTCAAAATCACCCATATCAGTCAACTTTCATATCAGTCAACTTTGGATTTCAAAGAAGGCGGCTAATAGTATTTAGTTGTAATTATAAATTACAAGTTATTTCACCTTTTCAGTTTATTTGGCCAGAAATTAGAGATTTTTTTAAACTATAATTTATATTTTATTTGAAGTTCTTAAAATATTTTTGGAGATTTTTTTAAAAATTCTTGATATTAAGATTTTATAGTATAAAGAACACCAAATATTTTCATAATGTCTAAAATCCCTCAATTTGATCCCGAGAAATTTCATCCAGAGAATTTCTTTGGAATTTTCAGAGAAATTCCCCTCCAGAGAAATTCTCATCCATAGAAATTTCATTCAGAGAAATTCTGAACTTCCCAAAGAATTTCTCTGGGTTGAACCCAGAGAAAATTCAAATTTCTCTAAATTCATTTTGACCAATTTTCTCTGGCTTCAAATTTAAATTCAAATTTCTTTGGGTTCATTTATAAACCAGAGAAAATTCAAATTTCTCTGGATTCATTTTAACCAATTTTTTCTAGATCACAATATTATTTTATGAAATCATTTTGACCAATTTTCTTTGGATTCAAATTCAAATGCAAATTTCTTTGTGTTCAAATTCAAATTCAAATATTGTGGATCTATTTCATTATCAAAAATAGGAGAGGGACCTTAGACCAATTTCTCTGGGTTCAAATTCAAATTCTTCCTCCAGAGAAATTCTTTGATAGCCTTCATCATCATCATCATCATCATCATCATCTTCTTTCTACATCAAATAAGTAGCTGTAGTAGCACCATGAAAGCCATATAAACAAGAGCACTTTGATAGCATCAAAACAAATACACAACATGACAAATGATTAATTGGAGGTAGCATGATGCAATAACAAAGCTTCTAGAGAAATTTGAACAACCAGAGAAACTTAAATAAACCAAAGACCTATTAGAGAAATTTGAACAACCTAGAGACATACCAGAGAAATTTGAACAATCAGATAAATTTGAAAAAACTCCCAAATTTTTAATCGTCACAGAAAATTGAGTTTTAGTAGATCTAATGATATAAGCATAGTCATTGGCTCCAGTTTCGCCAACCCAGAAGAGAGCATCATTGATTGTTGCATTGCATTGGGTGGTTGTGGTAGTTGTTGTGGGGCCTCCTCCTCCTCTACACCCCTGAGACTCCAAGAAGTTGTTGAACCAAGTGAGCTGGGTTTGAAGGGATTGAGGAGTGATGTTGAGTATGAGATTGTTCTTCACAAAGAAACTGTATTATTGCAGTAGAACCAGCAACAGCAAAGTTGACACTCATTGATGATGGCTTTTGGTTGCTATTAATAAGATAGAGGTAAGGAGGCAAGTATGGGAGGGACAGAGATTGTGCTACCAAGTCGATGACGAGGCGGCCATCGGAGTAGCGGTTGGTGGAGTGGTGAAAGTATGTGCAGCCGTAAGGGAGGTTCGATACATAGCTGAAGCCACTTGGGCCGCTGGTGGAGCCTGTGTTGCCCGTGTCGATATACGAGTCTTCGAACGCGTACATCTTCTTCAAGGGGCCTGCATGTGGTTGTTGTTGTGCTTGAAAAGTAGCAGTAGAGGAAGAGAGGTGAGGCAAAGAGTCAAATTTCTCTGATATATGTTTAGGGGCCTTAGACATCAAAAAATAATTTTGTGGATCTCTTCCATTACTAAAAATGAGAGAGGGACGTTAGACTAATTTTCCCAATATTTTTTTTTATCAGTTTTGCATAATGAAAATGGATAAATAATTTAAATTGAAAATAAAAAAATTAGAGTTTAAATTGATAAAATTAAAATTTTTTATTTAAAATGATCTAAATTAGTATATTTTTTAATTTTTTTTGAAAAAAATGTGCATAAATGCTTGTTTTGAAAAGTAAGAAAAAAGGTAGTTTATTAATTTTTTTTGAATTGTTTCTAAAAAGCGTAAAAAAATAAAAATAAAGATATGATATAATTTAAATAAGTCAATAAGCTAATAAATTAACTTTTTTTTCGCACGTTTCAAAACAAGTAAAAATGATGAGGTGATGTGACAAAAAAATAAAATAAAAAATCTATTATTTTAATGTACTCCAAACAATTCCGTTTGGCAAGAGTTAAACGGGCTTTTTTTGGCTATTTTAGCCACAAAAAACAAAATATCACATCTAACCCATAATCATTATATTCTTCTCTCACAAAAAAAAAATCGAAAAAGTCAAAAAGCCAAAAAGTTCTTCCCAAACCAAACTTTTTAGCCCATGTTAAAATAGCCAAAAAAATCAAAAAACCTAAAAGCCAGCCCACTTCTCAAACAGAGGCTAAATTTCTTTTTTGTAATTATTCCTATTTTTTATTAATAACGTCATTAATAAGGATAAAGTGGTACACAAAGGTACAGATAGCACCGTCTGCTGGTGTCACAGACGGTATAAATCGCAGTTACGCGGCGCACGTTAGGGAACGTCACTTCTTCATTGATCTATATACCTATACTATCATTCCAGTATTTATCTATCTATCTATATTATTATATATTTCAGCGCATTAGATTTGGTGTACATGTATTTAAAAAATTATTATTTGAAAACTTGAGCAAAGTTTAACCTCAAATCCTCGGTTTCATTAAAAGTACTCTTAACACTTAAACAATATATATATTATAATATTAGTTTTTTTATTATTTATATTTATTCTTATTTATTTGAACTACATACGTATCACGTGTACCACCTACTAGTATATATCTATATCTATATCTATATTATTATTAAAAGTGAACATCTCACTTGGTGTCCATAAATTTCTCTCTCCTTTTGTTAAGTGGCCTTCTCTTCTTGCGGCAAGTGTTAATTTCTTCATAAAAAAAAAAAAAAAAAGAAAGTTAAAGGAGAGACATAAGATTTGAACTTAAAACCATTCATTTAACTTAGTGAAGAATATTCTTATCACTTAAACATTATAAAAAAATATGTTATCAATTTAAACTTAAAATTTATACTTTAAGCACACTCATCGAGTGTACTCACATACCTAATATATCTTCTATACAATTAATAAAGGAAACATTTTAATTGGTGTCGGAAGCCGCCCTCTATTTTAATGCTAAGTGTTCATTTTGTCATTTAAAAAAAATTATTAGACAAATAATGAACATGAGACTCAAACTGTGGACAAATAGTATAATGAAGAAGACTCGTATCACTTAACTCAAACACAATATATGATAAATAATCTATTTTATTTTTACTTACTTAAACTGTACATGCATTACTTGTGCTGCCTGTTTGTATATTATATATGTATCCACTAGATTTGGTGTCTAAACCTTCTCCTCATATCACACGACAAATTTTTATATGTTAAAGTAAAAAATTATTACACGATTTCGCTTGACATGTGAATTTTTGGTTAAATTAATTAAAAAAACACTAAATAGACTAAAAAATTAATAAGATAAAATGTCATATTTAAATCATAATTATTTTAATTTTTTCCCACAAAAATTTTAAAAATTAACTCAAATGAATTTTTTAATCGAAAACCAAAAAAACCAATTTAAAAAAGTCACATGCCAAACGGAAACTAAATTTATTAATACACTTAAGATTATTTTGAAAAAATAGTTAAAAACTGAATTTTTAATTTTTTAAATTTTTTTAAAAAAAATATAAAAAATAATATAACTCAAAATAAATTAAAAATTAAAAATGACTTTCAACTATTTTATCAAAATAGCCCTTACTCGTAAACTTACATATTATAGGATATTAATTTTTTTATTATATATGCAATAATATAAGTACGTGATGAATTTCTCAGTTTTTCATCCAATAATTTGAAGAAAAAAAAAAAAAAAATCTCATAGACTGATCCCAGATTTGCCAAAAACTTTGGTTTGCACAAACCCTAGATTTACGCTCAGAAACCATAGAAATCATTCTCCGAAAAACACCATTTCGGTTTCAGAGCTCTCTGTATACACCGCTTCGCATTGATCTGTGAGTGTTTTTGTGTTTTATTTTTTGATAGTGACTTCAATTCCATTGTGGGTTTCGATTAGTTTGTAATTGTGTTTATGTATAGTTGATGTGTTTCAAATTATGGTGATTTGTTTGTACCCAATTGTGTTTGTTATTGCCAGAAAAAAGAGAATTTTTATTGGGTTTTGAGTTTTAAGACTTAATTGCAGTAGTTTTGTTGGTGGGTTGGTGTCATTGGATTAGTTTGATGGAAACTTAGGAGTGCTTCTATGTTTGGAGCTAATTTGGTGAGCTGGGTCTGAATTTGGAGTTGAATTCAGGATTGAGAAGAGGAATTATATACATTTGGGTGTGGATGAGAGGTTAGGGGAGATGAGAGAGGGAGTTGAGGGATTGAGGGAAGAACAATGACTACTGTGTTATTGGGTCTTCGTAGTTCAGGAAGTTATGGGTCATTGCAACAACAGGTCCAAAACGGGTTGTTGGCAATCCAAACATCGCCGCCTCTTGCCTCTCGAAAGAATTCCAAGATGCTCAAAGAGAAGGAGAATGTGTTTCATTGGATCTGCAAATTTGCTGGCCGCAAGAAGGTTGGAATGCTGCTCTTGTGTGTTGTTTCAGCTGCAGTTTTTGCATGGGTACTGTATGTTGGCAAAGGTTTGATAGCTTCTCCTTCTATCTGTTTACCATATGTATATTAAATTCACATTGTTTAATCAATATTAGGGATGAAGCTAGGAGAAAATTTTAAGACCAGACTTTCATTTTGAACCTTAATTGGTCTTGGAACCATTGAGTGGAGCTATATAAATTTAAATGTCCACTGAATTCGAATGGATCAAATAGGAAAGAATACTGTGAATCATAGAACTAAAATGAGATATATGATCAACTAACAATTACCAAATTGAAAAAGGGTCATAAGAATGGTTCAGTTCCTTTTTTTTATTATTATTTATATATATATATATATCTCTCTCTCAAACCGGCAATCCATGAATTGGGATCCTGGTGCATATAGATACAAATGGTCTAATGAGAGCGAGAAAGCGAGAAATTCCAGGAACATTTTATTTCTTAGCAGAGGAGCTGTTGTTGTGAAGCTTGTTGAAAAATTAGTGGCCCAATTTTTTGTCTCATCAGCTTAATGAAAAATCAACCTTATTGTACTGTTATGATTGAAAAAATTAAAGATTTTTTGTATTAGTTTCCATTTTATTCTGCGCTATTCATGTCCTATTTGATTTGGTAATTGGATTTTCCACATTACGTTTATTTTAGGTTAGGAAATTCATTTCTTAGCAGAAGAGCTGTTGTGGTGAAGCTTGTTGAAAAATTAGTGGCCCAATTTTTTATGTCTCAACAGCTTAATGAAAAATCAACCTTATTGTACTGTTATGATTGAAAAAATTAAAGATTTTTTGTATTAGTTTCCATTTTATTCTGCGCTATTCATGTCCTATTTGATTTGGTAATTGGATTTTCCACATTACGTTTATTTTAGGTTAGGAAATTCTCTCAATGGGCTACAGCCCTGTTATCTTCTACTCATGTTGATCACAACATATCTCAACATTGATCCCATGTGTAAGCCTCTTGTGTACATATTGCCATCCTTGAAGATGCACATGATATATCTCAATATATGGATGCAAAATTTGTAAATAGGTAGCCCTTTTAGTTCATTTCGGCAAAGAAATAATCTGTGCTTTCACATATCTGCAGGTGAAGATGCACAAGAACGTGACCGTGTCCCAAGCATTACACTTAATAAGAGCATTCCCTTGAGCTATTCTAAATCTTCGCCAATACATGGAGAGCACAATAATAATAATAATAGCTTCTTTTCTTCTATAAGGAATAATGTGGGAAGTAACGAAAGTATAGCGCAGCCTCCTCTTCCTTCCCCTCTTTCTCCTCCACCTCCATCTCCACTTCCTCTTTCTCATCCTCCTCCTCCTGCATATTTTACCGGATATGCTCTTCCTTCAGGGAATCCATGTGAAAGTTTCACATTGCCTCCTCCACCAGCGGATAAGAAAAGGACAGGACCACGTCGTAAGTTTGAGATTTTATAATTTTGGGGTTTCTATCAGTTGTTTCTGAGCTGACACACACAAAAAAATAAAAAAATAAAAAATCAATTGCTTTTGCAAATTGTTATGTTGTTGTGTTACTTGCTACCATGCATTTGCACATTTATGCATAATTATGGTAACACAAATATATTAATTCTAGTAACTATATAGTACACATTTTTTACTAGCAAGGAGGTTTGATCTATAACGATAGTGTTGATTTGCATTTTTGCTTTTCTATGTTTCAGCATGCCCTGTATGCTACCTTCCGGTGCAAGAAGCCATTGCCTTAATGCCAAATGCCTCTTCCTTTTCTCCTGTGGTCAAACATTTAACATATATTCATGAAGAAAGTTTAACTAGAACTGAGTTTGGTGGCTCAAAATTTGGTGGATATCCTTCTCTGAGGCAGAGGAGTGATTCCTATGAGATAAGAGAGTCAATGAATGTGCATTGTGGGTATGATATTCTTTCCCCGGGCAGTTTTTATTTTTCTGGTTAATATTTAACTTATAATGATTGTTTTCCTTGAAATTTTTTGCTTGGTTTAGTTTTTTTGCTTTCAAGTTATTCACTAGTATTAACACATAATACTAGCTTTTCTCATCGTTGTCTTATTTGTGTTCCATTTACACCAACAGATTTGTCAGAGGAATTAAGCCTGGACGTCAGACTGGATTTGATATTGATAATCCTGACCTCCTTGAGATGGAGAATTGTCATGGGGTGGTTGTCGCATCCGCAGTCTTTGGTACTGCTCTTCATAAGCCCAATACAAATTTCATTCCTATCTGAGCTTGTGGGTTTCTATTCTAATGTTGCAGTCTTGACCAGGAGCCTATGATTTAATACAACAGCCAAAGAATATTAGTGAAGCTGCCAGGAATAATGTTTGCTTCTTTATGTTCGTGGATGAAGACACAGAAGTATTTCTGAGAAATTCTAGTGAGCTCGATAGCAGCAAGAAGCTTGGATTGTGGAGAATCGTTGTTGTCCGTAACCTTCCTTACACTGATCCTAGACGCAATGGAAAGGTAAATTTTTTCAATATTTCGAGCTAGTTCATCCTTTAAATCCAGATAGATTTTGGCTTTGTGCAGACTGTTCTGTACTAAGTTCCTCTGATTGGTTGATATTGTTTTAGACAACAAATGTGTGAGTAAACGCATTATCAAATATTGTTTTTGTTGTTCCACTTTCTACAATTATCAGAAAGGTTTTGTATAGGCCAGCACATTCTTTTCTCAGGTAAGTTCAAGGGCCATATAGTAATGGTAAGAATCTCTTTGATTTGATAGATCATTAGCTCATGCATGGACGCACCTTCACACTGTGTATAGTTTCCATCTGAAAATGATGCAGTTGGCATTAAGGGTTCTTGCTTGCAATCTGCATTGTCATCTTGTAATAGAGGCCCTGCCTAGTGCCTAGCTTTACAGCACACTTTCTGGTTAGACAGATTTTAAATAAGATAATTCTTAGACAAAAAACTCATGTTTATTATGTGCGTAACCAATATTTTAAAGGTGTTACTAAGGCTCCCCTCAAGGTGAGGCTAAGGAAAAATGCCTCGACTATCGTGGTTTTGATTTTTAAGTGACACTCCTTGTGCATCACAGTGTAAGCATGCACCTTGTATGCCTGTTGCACATGAACATTGTGATTAGTACGCATATGGAGAGCTTGACTTGTGCTGTTGTTAAATGTTATTTGGGATGATCTAAATAAGTATACTTTTTGACTTTTTACGAAAAGAAGTGCAGAAAAGTAGAGCGGTGATGTGACCCAAATAAGTGCACTTATAGTTAATGCCAAAAACATAAAAAAGAAGAAGCTCTTTGGTAATTATATTCCATAGGAAAAATCAAGTAAATGGCCAGTCTAGAAAAAACACTAAGTTAAGCCTCAAGTGAGAAGCTCAATAACTAAAGTTAAGAATTCGATTTTACCATCGATGAGGCCAAAACTTCTCTCTGTAGTGTAAATTTTGATGCCTTGAGGTGAAAAGTATTTATACCCTTATATTTCATTTATAATAATGTTTTACTATTATAAAATATGTTATTTATTTACTTCATATAAAAAATTAAAATTCAAAATGATTACACCTTGATACCTTGGGAGGCTCACGCCTTGCCTCATGAAGGGTAAAATGCCACTCATTATGCTTTTGCCTCTAAAAAATTTCCATGTAACATTTATCTTCTCTACATAGATGAAAAGGAACTAAGACATTGGTGGTGGTTTGCGATATGAAATTTCAATTAGGATTTTTTTTGGATAAATATTCAATTAGGATTTTTATCAGGTCTTATAGACCAAAAAACTTATGTTTATTAGTGCTTGTAAAATTCTTTGACACAGGCTATACCTTTGGCAGGTTCCAAAGCTTCTACTGCATAGGCTTTTCCCCAATGTCCGCTACTCTCTTTGGATTGATGGAAAACTTGAACTTGTTGTGGATCCATATCAAATCCTCGAAAGGTATCGAATATTTTGCTCATTTTATCTGATTTATTTTTTATTTTTTATACACAAAGGATAAAGTTGTTCTGAGAAGTTAAGTCAAAAGCACCGCAACCACCTTGTTGATGATACTAGGGTCTTTACGCTGGATCAATTAGTTTCTCTTGTATAATTTTACATGATTTGATTTTCCAAGTTTGTAGTTTCTCTTCCTTGGATAATCCAAGTTGGATTATGTCATCAGTTCTCAAGTTGCTTCCGAGCATCAATTGTTGTGTCTGTGCACTTGCTAAGGTATAGGCCTCCAAACAGATTGGATTCAGACCAGATTAAGGGTGGTCCTAATCCTATCATCTTAATAAAATTGTTTGATTCAATCCAATCTGTCAAATAAAAGATCTATAAATGTGAATCTGGAATTTTCTGAAAACCAGACATCTGATCTGATGCAGTAAAGCATTTATGAAGAAGAAGAGAGAAGGGGGATAAAGGTTAAAAACCTTTTTGAGAAATTTTCTGATTACAAGTTGCAAACAAAAATAGATTTGACCAATGAGACTACACAAATAGTATAAAACATTAACATAACCAAACCAAACCAAACGAAACGAAGCTTTAAGTCCCATCAAATGGGGTCGGCTACATGAATCCTTCTTCTCCACGCGGCCCTATCAAAGGCCATTTCATTAGTCAAATTAAGTAGATTCATATCTCTATTTAAAACGCTAGTCAACGTTAATCTAGGCCTACCCCGTCCCCTAACACTTCCATCTACCGTTACAGCATCGCATCTCTTCAATACTACCTCTGTTGGTCTCCGTTGAATATGACCAAACCATCTCAAACGATTCTCTCTCAACTTATCTTCTGTCGGTGCTACTCCTACCCATTCCCGAATACACTCATTCCTAATCCTATCTTGTCTAGTCTTTCCACACATCCACCTTAGCATCCTCATCTCAGCCACACTCATCTTATCTACATGTTGTTTCTTGGTTGCCCAACACTCCGTCCCATACAACATAGCTGGTCTAATAGCCGTTCTATAAAACTTACCCTTTAGTCTAGTGAGTATTCGTTTATCGCACAATATCCCAGACGCACTTCTCCACTTACACCATCCTGCCTTAATCCTATGGGCCACATCTGCATCAATCTCTCCCGCTGTTGTGATAATCGACCCTAAATAATGAAAATGTTCACTCTTAGGCAATTCTTGGTTCTCAATCTTCACTTCTCCTCCGCTTTCATTGTTACTGTTACTAAATTACACTAAATTTACTAAATTTACTTTCATTGTTACTGTTACTGTTACTAAAACATTAACATAATATTAGAAAATCAAAAAGCATTTGTTGCAAAAAATACCATATAAAGCCAGAAATAGCATTATCTATAATATACAAAAATCAAAAAGTAGAAACTGATGATGCAGTTGAATTTAAGAAGATCCCAACAAAGGTTGCTAAAAATTTATACTGTGAGAGAAAGAGAAAGAGACATGTATCTGTCTCGATGCCTACCCACTTCCATTGCTTATGGTTGATGGAGGCATGGGCTTGGCTGGACCTAGGAAGCGCCAACACTCTAAAATGGGTGTCATGACCATGTCTGAGCCACATGGCATGCAACAGGCTATCCAAAACAGGGTTACCACTCCATAAATTATTCCCCCCTCCACATTTATTGAAAAAAAATTGCAGACTTTCAAATACATGGTGAATGCTTGGAATACCCTTCTTCAATTTCACTAGTCATATTTGAAATGCCTTAAATCCGTTTGAAGCTTTTCTAATGGACGAGTTGTGGAATTAGGCTGATATTGGCCCAGAGGATTGCACTTCAATTAGGATGATTCATCCAGTATAGTCTCTTGTGCTAGGAAAGTAAAAATGCCTTTAGATTTGTTGTCACTATTTGAAGAAATTTGTGTTCTATGTAATGGGTTTATTATTTGTCTGCAATGCACTGTTAAGGTTTTGGATATTCCCCAGCTACCAAGGTGTTACTAAAGTAGAATATTTTAGTGGTCTGTGCTATACACTTTGGCTTTCTTTCTTTCTTTCTTTCTTTCTTTCTTTTCCTTTGGGTTGTTTGTTGTTTATTCATTTTTGAATGCTTTCTTTTGTCATCCTTCTTGAAAGGGTAATTCATCCATTTCTCATCTAGAATTATTCTTTTCATAAAATATTTTTGTTAGAATTTTGTTGTTGGTTCCCTCCTTCCACCTCTTATGTCTTTCCATTCTTGATGGATTTAATATACCTCTTTTTAATAATATTTGTTTAATGCCATCTACCTATAATGTGTGGCATTTTAGAAGTCAACATAGTAAATGATAAAGCTATTGCATTTATCAAAAAAAAAAAGATAAAGCTATCGGATTGTATGTTTGCTTTCTTTCGGGTGAACATTATTTATCTTTTGGTCTAGCTTACAATGCAATACGCATAAACATGTTGGAGTTGATTCTTACCTAGACCCAGCAAAGGGTTTATTGTTGATTCTTTTCAACCTTGTGCTATAAGTGGTTTGTCCAATTAATTGAAAAGTAAGTGATTGGAATGGTGATTGGATACAAGTGTTCAACTATGCATGCTAACACCCCCTGCTGGTAGTTACGGGTTTTTATGTGAACTGCGATCTGTATTTAGGGTTGGCCTTTTTAGTGGCTTTTTTGCTTTCTTGTATAATCTAAAAGAGTTGATGTGTTCAGGAAGTTGAGTTGGTTTTTTTTTGGCTTTTTGAGCTGATGACAAACAGACTTTTTTTCTTTTTGGCTTCTCTACTTATCTTGCAGGTTCTTGTGGAGAGAAAATGCAAGTTTTGCGATATCTAGGCACTATAGACGCTTTGATGTATTTGTAGAAGCCGAAGCTAATAAAGCTGCTGGAAAGTATGATAACGCCTCCATCGACTTCCAGGTTGATTTTTACAAAAGGGAGGGTTTAACCCCGTATTCTGAGTCTAAGTTTCCCATTACAAGTGGTACGCTTGTGATCCTTGTCATCTTTTGCTTGTGTTGATTGCATTGCTTTTCCTGTTTTATTTTTCTTTCTTTCTTTCTTTATTTATTTTGGTGTAATTGGGTTTGCACAGATGTTCCTGAAGGATGTGTGATAATAAAGGAGCATGTCCCCATCTCCAACCTCTTTACTTGTCTTTGGTTCAATGAGGTCGACCGTTTTACTTCCAGAGATCAGATTAGTTTCTCTACAGTGAGGGACAAGATCACAGCGAAGACAAATTGGACTCTCAATATGTTTTTGGACTGTGAAAGGCGCAACTTTGTGGTTCAGGTAATTATTATATTCTTTTTCTTCATTCAGCTGATACATTCTCTGGAAATTGCTCTAAGAAAGATAGAAATGATAGATACTTGTACAAATCTTTTTGATTTATGCTTGTGTTGTGCCTAAGCCTAATATTAAAATACATAACAGACACCTATGTTATACGGACTTTTCAAAATAAATCAAATACTAGTGTCGGACATGGGTATATGATATGTGTCGGATACTTTTTAATGGGCACTTCTTATATAATTATATATAATACTATTATTATATGTACATAAAGTTGTATAATTGCTATAAATGTATTTTTGACACTGTAAGTTACATATAACACCATTTTATCTCACATATTTGATTAAAAATATAAAAATATGATTTTTTTTGCCGAGTTCACGTATTCTTAAATTTATGATTTGATGAGTCTGACATCTAGATACATACCTGCACCTGACACCCATATCCGAGTTCATGTAACATAGACAGATACAGACACGTGACACAATATAGACACGGCATTGACACGTCAATTTGCAAAAAATGTAGGACACAACGCGTTTGGGGCACATTAAAAATTTATTATATGTGAAATATGAATAATTTATTCAAAGGTAATGAAAAAAACACCACAATAATTAATATTAAGAAGTCATATATTTCATAATTTAAATATCAAAATATCATTTACGGAACAAGTACAATATAAAAAATGCAAAACAAATTTAGAATATAAAAATACACATGGTATATTCATCTTATTCAAAACATATATATAGAGCTTAGTAGTAGGAATTGTTCACGTTGCTCACGATTCTTCCTTTGAGGCGCGATTCTGTGCTTCTGACTCAGATTCGTAGAAGAATCGCGAGTTCGATGCGAGAGAAACGCGAATCTAATCACAAATTTGTCTTTTTCTCTTCCTCTCGATCTGTCTGTCCCTCTTCTCTCGATCTCAATCTCAATCTCAATCTCGTGACTCTTTTTCTCTTCCTCGATCAATCTTGTCTCATCTCTCCCTTGATCGATCTCGTCTCGTCTCTCAATCGACTCTTCTTCTCTCTTTACCGATCTCCTTATCCTCCTCTTCTCTCAATCTTCTCTCTCGATTTTCTCTTTTCTCTCTATTTGATCGACGTCTTCTCTCTCTCTACAATTTTAACAAAATAAATTTATTTTATTTTTTTAAGAAAATAAATAATTTTTTTTGGTTAAAAAAATCTAATAAAAGTATATAATTAGAATATTTTAACGTATAGTTTTTTTATACTTTTTTATTTATTTATAATATATATGTCAATTAAAAATAAAAAATATATATAGATGAATTTAAAATATTATCAATAAAAATAATACATAAACGCTTCCAATTTACGATTCCCCTAGGTGGCCACACTCCCACGCTCTCGCTCCTGCTCCCGCTCCCATTTCGTGCAACTATGATATAGAGTGAATAAGTTGCATTATAAAGAATACAAAACATTGTTAGTATGAAGAGATTCATCACATATGTTGTGTTCAGATGGTTGAAGAACTATTTGTGAAGTGTATTATGAATTTACGTTGTAATTAAGACACTTTGAAGAAGTGTCGGACATGTTTTTTAAGTGTGTCTGCAAAGTGTTGTGTTTGACACGACATGCCTCCTTTATAAAAGTGTTCGTGCTTCATAGATACATAGTTATATTTTTTGTATTGCCTTCTTCCAAGGTTCGGAACCTTGTGGATTTATCAAGGACTTGTGGATGTTGTAGAAAATCTGAGACACTCCGTTTTGTTTATACACTATACACACTCCAAACATGGAGAAGCACCATTTTACATTGGAATCTTATAATCATGAATGAGGTCGATTATTGACAACTCTAGGCCTAAGTGATAATAGTAATATGGACATGTCCACTCTAAGATGAATTATAGTGATGATTCTCATTTTCTTCCGTGGTCTCATGCTTGATTTTGATTTTTTATGTCTAAATTATTGGGGGAGAACAACACACTAATAATCATGAGGATCCATAAGCATTTCTTCTCAAGGCCCTCTAGTTCTTCCTCTTAGAGATAATTTTTGCATCCCATACAACCTTTTCGATTTCTTCTATTTGCTTCACTGAAGTCATATTTTGTTTTCTTAAGAACTTTTTTTTTTTTAATCTTTAATTTAATTTGTTTGTTTGTATATGACCATAGTTCCAAGCTAAGTAGCATAGACATGGACACGTGATATGACACTGCGATTTTAACAAAATATAGGACATGATACACCTAGGACATGTTAAATTTTTTTTATCTTTATAAATTTATTGTATGTTAAATAGATGAATAGTTTATTCAAATGTAATGAAAAAGATAATTTTAAAATTTAAAACTAATTTAAAATTTTAATTAAAACACGTTAAAGAAGTGCCAGACAGGCTTTTAGAAGTGTTTGTGAAGTATTGTGTTCGATGAGGGTGTCCAGCATGACACGCTTCCTTTATGGAAGTGTTTGTGCTTCTTAGGTTTCAAGCTATCATTTTCCTATTTTGGTTGCTAGTAGACTACATCTGTGCAATTCAAATAATTTGGGACCAATATTCTTTCCTTTTATGGAATTTGGGAGATATTCAGTTCTAATCTCTCTCTCTCTCTCTCTTGATCAGCAACAAAAGTATATTTATTAAAACAGATGAAAGGAATACAAGAGGGGACAAGAAGATGTCCTCTGAGAAAAACCAAAAAGCGCTGATCCAGGCAAGCCCTGGAAAAAAAAACCAAGAAGAAAAACTATTTAATAAAGTGAATACCTTGCAATGGAGGAGATTGAAACCAAGAGGATTCCAAACTTCGAATTTTGTCCCATAAAGAGTCCACATTCCCAAATTTGTCTTAAAAATTCTCACGTTCCTCTCTCTCTCTCTCTCTCTCTCTCTCTCTCTCATTATGTTGCTAATTTTTAACTGTGTGCAGGGGTACCACAGAGATATTCTAGAGCACTGGGCTCCTCCCCCTCCTGGTGGTACTATTGCTGTTGTTCATCCTCCACCATCACCACCACCTATTGGCAAATCGACAAATAAAACATCAGCTGAGATTTTTACACAAGGAATTGAAATCACTGCAATTAGGAAGATCCCAACAAAGCGTGGAAGAGAGAAGAAATCCAGCTCAAAGCGTCACCGCAAGGTTGCTGCTGGTAGTAGGGACAGAAGTTCAAGCTAAAAATTGTCTAGCCAAATTTTTAATTTTATTTTCCTCCCCTGTTTGACAGGGCTGGGAATATGTGCAAGTTAAGTGTTGTAGTTGTGTTTCAACTCACTACAGATTTTGGGAATTCTCAAATTTATCCATTTTTTGTTGTATATATAATCAAGTTCCAAATAATTGTTGTTAACATGGGTTACTGTATTTTCCTCATATGTGGTAGCCCATTTTAATGTTTTGAAGGAATATTGTATTGGATCTCAATTATTCTATTGTTATGTTCACCTACTGTCGTCAATGGAAATTTATTTCTTTATTTTATTGAAATTCCTCATGCTCCCCAATTGGACTTGTAAATTCTTATTTCAGTTTTTCTATGTTCTTTTTCTTTGCGTTGATGAGTGTATTAGATTTAGGAAGCTGGTGAAATGCATCTAGTTGATATTTATGATTTGTTATTGGATAATGCTATAAATCATTGGTTTTTGTTTCAATTTTGTTGCAATATGCTCCTTCCATCACTTTTTGTTAGAATTTGGAATGGAAAAAGAGTACTTGCAAAACTATAGGGACATTTGAATTCTACTTTGGTTCTCCTAATTTTGCACATGATTTCATCTTCCGTTCATAATGTTAATAACGTATGACGGAGGGACCACATTGCAATAAAATTGAAAATGTAAGGGTCAAATTGTCAAATTGAAATTACGAAGATTAAAGTAACACTTCGCTTAAATTATAGGGACATGGTATAATTTACACTAAAAATAAATTTCATAAAATGAAAAAAATAATAAATATACATGCATATTCATATAATAATAATAACAACAAAAATCAAGTACATCTCAATTTAGTCTTAGGCCTCGTTTGGCAAGAGGCTATTTTAGTCAATTAGCCAAAAAGCCAACAACCCATACCAAAAAGTCAAAGATTCTCTTTTCCCTCTATTTTTTACACATCTTTTCGTAATTAGCCAAAAAGTCATCCCAAACATACAAGTTTTTTTTACCTACTTTTTTAGCCAAATAGCCAAAAAGTTACTAAATTAGCCTGTTCCCAAACGAGGCTTTATGTGTTTAAATGCCAATTCCATACTGTTAAAAATGGGAACTGATATGGATTAACTAGGCGGATCACGGGGCTGGTGTCCACCTCTAATCACATTATGCTTTAAGCTCGCTGTGCTTTCAGCCAACGGCTAGAATGCCAGTGTCGGTCTTCTTCTATCTTTCTTGCTTTCCTTTTGTTTTGTTTTGTTTTTATTTTTTTTGTTTTGGTGCAGTGTTGTATCAGCGGAGATGAAATTATTGTGTTAGTTTTACAATGAAAACACGCATGTACATTGGCGACACTTCTAGCAGATTTCTTTTACCTATCAGAAAAAAATATTTTAAAATATATTCTATGAATGGTCTTTTTCTGGAACTGTGCTTTTGCTTTACATATGAAAGATGGAAATTCTTTAAATGAACCATAGGAATAGATGATGATCAAATGTTTGCAGTATTGTCCATTGAAGTAAGTGTGGTAACATTGGTTTACCTTGACTCCATGCCTTGGCAGTTTCAAAGCCCAAATTGAAGCCTTGTATTTTTTATATTGTTTTGGTTCTTGATCTTTGTCCTTTTTATTGTTTATTTCTAGTAGGATTGGGTTTTCACTGCCTTGCCATTTACTCTTTTGGCAGACTTATCTTTTCTGCATTCTGGCCTTATACTTTTTCTACTAATATATAATTTGTCATCTGTACATTCATGTTTTTTCTTCAATTATTTTGTTTTTAAGTATAGTGTCATTGAATTTGCAATATCCATGCTAACGAATTGTATGAAATAGTTGTGACTTCTGAAGATAAGATAATGCTTCATTTATGCTAACATTGGTTTACCTTGACTCCATGCCTTGGCAGTTTCAAAGCCCAAATTGAAGCCTTGTATTTTTTATGTTGTCTTGGTTCTTGATCTTTGTCCTGTTTATTGTTTATTTCTAGTAGGATTGGGTTTTCACTGCCTTGCCATTTACTCTTTTGGCAGACTTATCTTTTCTGCATTCTGGCCTTATACTTTTTCTTCAATTATTTTGTTTTTAAGTATAGTGTCATTGAATTTGCAATATCCATGCTAACGAATTGTATGAAATAGTTGTGACTTCTGAAGATAAGATAATGCTTCATTTATGCTACTCACACAGTTATACTATTAGGCACCCCTTTACAAGTAACCCCAGGTCCTGAGCTTGGCATGAGCAGCTCATATGGTGAAATTCCAGCACCACATCTATTTGTGAGGCTTGGGTCTGAATTTCTCTTTTCGATGTTCTTTTCAATCTTTTTGATCTCCATTGAAAATCTATAGAATGCCTCTATAATTTGAGGATCATCTGACCAAGTTGAAGAGTCTTGTCTTTCTCCAATATACTGCTCATCTGGTGAATGTGTTGATATTATTTCAAGCAGAGCCATAAATTGTGTTGCTTGGAACATACTTGGCAACGATGTTAAGAAATACCCTTGTGGGTCAGCAACAAAATTTTCCCAGTCAGGATCTTCTTGTTGCGGCACTAGTCGTCTCATTAGTGGTGAGCGGTTTGGGACATAACCGCCATAGGGATACTGCCCAAAGTTGAGTGCAGCATGTTGTGCAGATGCAAGCCATATGATGGTGGTGAGAATTTTGGTTAGATCATGTGGAGTAGACAGCGTGGGCCACCAAGTAGCATCTCGAACATCTGCATGGCCCACATTAATGGACTCATTGTACCAGGCCTGCAGCTCCATGTCAGTGTGGATCAAATTTGCCTTTGGGTAGTAGTAATTTACATACTCAGAAACCAGATTTTCTATAGCAGACCAGATAAGGAGGCCATCATTTGCATAAGGGTAGTCCTCAATAAATAATCTTAGTCCATGAGGTTGTGTTGGGTCTGGTGTTGCCACCCCTCTGTATAGAATTTAATTAGTCTGTTAGTTTAACTAATCATTTGATAAATTATTACAAATCAGAGAAGAAAAAAAAATGGAAGTTTGATAAATTAAAAAAAACCTTCTTATTAGATCTGCTGGAAGGCCCTCGAGGTCAAAGCGCCAGCAATCTCGGTAGGCAGCGCAAGAAATCTCCATGCAATATTTGCCTGCGGTAAAGAAGTGTTCAATGGACCCTCCCACATTAATGAGTGTCTCACGAGCCATCGCATTTATCTCCATTGTATATCGCATGTGGGGATCAAGAAGCTTGAAGATAGGGTGCATCACACTCAACTGGCGGTGAGCAGCTATTATGAATGGTTCCATGCATGCATGGGTTCTTAACCTGTTGAGTGTTGGATTATCAGTTATATGATCAGTTTGTTTCAGTGGCTAAGCTTAGTGGAAAATCATATTTGTGTCCATGTGAATGTGCTTGACCCAAAGGGCTAAAACCTAGCCTGATAATTTGTGTAGATGTTATTAGCTTTGACGTGACCCAACCTAATGATAATAACATAATTGAGGAGTTGAAGAAGGCAATGAATGCATTAGTTATAACCCTAGAGTTGAATTGCTAGTTACTTGGACTAGACCATAATTTTGGGTCCATGCTTGATCCAAAAAAAAAACAAAAAATGGCCACCTCCTCTTCAAGGCCTAGTTCAACTTTATGTCATATAGGCTCTAATGGCCTTCCGTCTGCCTATTGTAATTTTTTGTGCTGTTATTGAGGCCATCCTCTCTCCAATTCTAGGGTCTTTGTGACAAACAAAACTTAAAAATGGGCTCGTTTACAGTTTAGTGAATTTTGAAAACTATTTCCTTGTCTTCTTCTTCTTCTTCTTCTTCTTCTTCTTCTTCTTCCTCTTTTTTATTTTTTTTTATTTTTTTTGGTGTGTGTGTAAACTAAAATTGACCCCAAACAATATATATTTTTTAAAAGAAAAAAATAAAAATAAAAATAAAAATGGTGGTTGGGGTGGGAATATGTGGCTTTGTGCGAGTTAACCTTAGTATTCCCATGGTATAGTCTAAGGCTGTGTTTGGTTTGAATATATAAAAAGAGATTTGAAAAGGAAAAGGGAAAAAATATGTGAAACTATGTGAAATGTAGGTATATTTTATCATATTTCACCTACATTTTTCCTTTTCCTTTCTAAACTCCTTCTCAAATCCCCCAACCAAACACAGTGTAAAAAAAAATTAGAACCAAAAAATAAAAACTATATAGTATCTCTTCAGTTGGCCAATATGAAACTTAGTATTCCTGGGAACGGTTTGCCTTACCAGTGATTAACAAGTTGGTGAACCCCGGAATCATTGGAACTAACATGGGCTTTGGCAAGTTGCCAAAGCCAATTGGTGGTGGCATCAATTGGAGGGGTGAGAACTTGCTTCGATGGGGAAGTTGAATCTATTTGCGGGAGACTCAGCTCAATTGCAATAGGCTTTAAAGTTCCGTTTGGGGTCAAAAAGAAGATTGTTCGGGTTCCATAAGCTTTCCGATCATCAAGAGCATTTATTCTGTTGAGAAATGGAAGATATATATCGTGGTAATCCAATATGAACAGCTTGTTCTCATCTAATGCCTGGTAAAACAAAGAAAAAGAAAGATGATCATCAAGAAAATAGCATTTAATGTTGTGAGTATTTTATGTCGTGATTTAATAAATGTGATTGATTTATGAAGTTTGTTGCAATGTTATTTATAAATAAGATGCTAAAGGATGTGTTCACGTGCATGAATGGTTTGCCTATCCTTTTGAGAAATTCTGGATAAGAGGAGCAGAACTGGCAAATACTTCAATTTTTTTGTCAATTCATTTAAAATAAAAATTAAAAAAATGGGTTATAGTAAAGTTAGGATCATGCTTCATGGCTGAATTGGTGTTATGGTTCAAGTTTTTTCTTTTTCTCTTTTTTGAAATTTTAAACCCTGTTTTTATCCTTGTAGTTGTTTTCCACAAGAATGTCCTTTTGCCCACCTTTTTTTTTTACATTTGGCATGCATATAATAAAAGCTAAAATATGTTGTTCTCATTCAAATAAAGAGAAGACTTTGTCATACCTGTTGTATGGACATTCCACAGAGATGACCAATAATATGTTCTTCTCTCAGTGCTGATTCTTGTGGACCATAGACTGAGGGATCAAGTTTGCTTACTGGTGGAAACACCTATTTGAAAATTTGAAATAGAACATTTTATTTATTATAAAAGAAAAAGAAAAGAAAGAAACCCTTGTGTTTTCCAAAAATGAAAACAGAAAACAAAAAAACAGAATTAGGAAAATCCTTTCTTCTACATACCTTCAGCTTCTCTATGTTCAAAGGGTTTATTCCTGCCACAGCTTGTCGACCGAATTCATCGTCCCGTAACCAGGATGTGTCCCCTAAATTTAAAGACAGGTTTTTTTCCCCGAAAATTTATTATGTCCAATTTAGGGAAGAAAACATAAAAGTTGTTATGATAATGAATTTGGAAGAAGCAAACTCAATTTAGCACTTACTGGTGAAGCTCTTTGGAGGATTAAACTTGACAATTTCTTCTAAGAACTCTTGAATATTACCGAGAACCTTTGTCAACACAAGTTTATTCAGAAATTTATCCTGGGACTTCTTTCTAAGAACTGGTTGGCTTTTGTATAGACTGTTAATCTCAGAAAACTCCTTAAAAACATCATTTTCAGTATGGATGTATGCTATTAAAGAAGGAACTATATTACGAAGTGTTCCTTTTAACTTTCCTGCTAAGAGTGCTTCCTGCTTAGGATCCTCCAATGCTTCATCTCTTGGCACATATATGGACTTGAATCCCTCCACTGGGCTTTCTGCATTCATGTCTGTGACATGCCAAACGATAAATAATCATATCATTATGCATTTGAGGTTCAGTTTCTGCTATTTGTTGTGAAATCTGAAAATAGATAGATTGCACTAGTTGATCATGCCCAATGTTTAGTATGTTAAAATTTTTGCATGAGCTTAAGACCTGGATAAAGCTTTAGATATTATTGACACAGATGGTTCAAACCAAGAAAAAAAGTAAAAAACAAGAAGAAGAGAAGAAGATAGTGTTTTGATGTTCATGATGTTTAAACCATATAAAGCCATAGAGCCTTTGAGTTATCCTCACCAGTTTTTGAGGATGGACGTCCTGTCCGGCAACGTCTGGGATGCGGGTTCTCGGGACCTCCAAGTGTTGGTCTTGAATATTCAGTTCCTTTATCTGGATTTCCTAGATCATTATACATATCATAGTCATATATTCTGTCTGACGGCAACCTGAGTCCCTTTCCATCACCCCTCAATTCCTGTAATTCCTTAGCTCTTACCTTGTTCAGTCCCAATGGTGTTGTACAAGGTAAATATGCCTGTCAAATCCAAGAAAGGTTACAACTTTACTTTTTAAGCCAATGAATCATTTCTTGTGGAGAATTTGTTTTGATGTTAGATACATGTTTGAGTTGTATATACACATCTGATGCAATCTAACCACTGACAACTTTTTAGTTTAAATGGTTGTACATCCAAAATATTCACCAAGGATCTTCTAGAGTGAAATTTCCCTAAACTTTCCTAGAGTGTTATATTGTGTGGTTGAGATTTACTGACAAGTTACATCAGAAAAATTGATGTGATTTGCCAGTAAATCTCAACCACACAATGTAGCACTCTAGGAAATTTTAGGAAAAAATCACTCTAGAGGATCCTTGCTCCAAAATATTGAACAGTTACATTGTTTCTGTGGTGCTCGCTGAAAGATTATCATTTTAAGACTCCGTGAAAGAGCTATTTGCTGCTTGTATGAATTGGTATGCAACACCAATTTATGATTGCTCTGTAATTCATAACTCAATGATACTTATTGAAGTATAATTTTATTTTATGTTTTGAAAAACTAAAAGTAAAAATATTATCATGGTTAATGGATCAATGGGATGATGGACACTTGGATTCTACCTTGTTAGTGAAGAAGATCCTTTTGTTGGAATGAACATTTGCCGGTTGAACCCAAGAGTTGCAGGCAAAATGAACAAACCTTTCAAAGGAGATGCTCACCAAGAAGAACTCCTTTGGATATTTGTTATACACTGTGATGGCTCCTGGCACCCCAAAATCAGACTCAACCTTAAATTCAACCTGGTAAGTGTTCTGCTTCGTTCCAACTTTTAGGCTCTTCGACAAGTCTAATACAGCTTCTTTGCTCAGCTTTGGCTCCATTGTCTCTTCAGTACAAAAAACAAGTTAGCTTTTTAAACAGAACAGAAAGAAGGAAAATTTGATGTTAGTAGGTTTACTTACTTGGATCTAGTTCAGTGCTCATAAGCTGTAGAACAACACCTTTTTCTGCTGCTGCAGGGTAAATGAAACCATCGAACCGACTGAGTATCATGTCCATTATACCAACCTTCCTACTGTTCCTCACAGTCACTGTTGCTTTCATGTTCAACATCAAAGGTTTTTCTTCCACAACTTTTATTGACTGTGCCTCAACAAGAGCTGCCTCAGGGGTCCTCACAATCTTCCTCAGGCATAAACTTTTCTTCTGCGATTGAAATATAATGGAAGGGGAAATTAGGTTGTTTTTTTGTTGGATTAAACGGACATCGAGAAGAAACTGAGAAGAATTTGATGTCAAAGAGTGTGCATTCACTATGAAGGAACTCATAGTGATTAGTTCTGCTAAAGAATATAATACAATCTGTCTCACTATCTCTATATGAAGGGACTATTTATAGAGATGATGGAGTTCTGTTGTTAAATAAGAGACAAGCACATGCATTTGTGCCACCAGTGACAGTAGTGGGCCTCTTAGTCTGATGTATTAGTTGATCAAATGGATTAGACATTTCAAACATGCAACATTATTTAATAGAATAGGACTTCCTAATGACTTTTAGGTTTCGATTGTATGCATGGATTTCTAATGAAAGGATTTGAGGGTGAATTTTATAGAAATACAGGAAATTAAAGTATTATAAGTGGATTGAGAAATTAAAAAAGAAGATAATAGGATTGGGTAAACATTCATTCGACTCATAAAAAATGAATGGCCCAAATTGATTCACCACAGAATGGGCGGTTTTGATGGTCTGAGGGGATGGATGTTGATACATTTTTTTTAAACTGCCTAAATTTAGAAGGATGGTGAATGGGAAGCCAACTGACCCAGCTCCATCTGGGATCATCCATTGTTTGGTAGAAAAGATCAAAATAAAATTTCATTTCAAAGTGACATCATTTTGAAGTGCCCTTATAGGGGAAAATTATTTGGGGCACCACGTGACCATACCTCAGGCCAAATACAAACTCCCATGCCTTTTCATATTCCCTAATTATCCAATACAAGATTATGAGTTTCACCCCTTCCATCAATCACAATGCATGTGGAGCGCCACGTGGTGGTGCCACTGACCAACCGATAACTTCTTCCTTATACGTGACATGATTTACATGTGTATCGTACTAGTTTAAATTTATCAATAACTTCTCCCTTATACCTAATGTGATTTACATGTGTATTGTATTAGTTTAAATTTATCTCAAACCACATGTTATTTTTAAAATGATAAAAGATTCCAGAAATCATATATAATATTTATAGCATGATTTACATGTGTATTGTACTGGTTTAAATTTATCTCAAACACACAATAAAAATTAATTTGGTAAAATAAATATATAAATGTGTAAAAGATTTATTAATTTTATCTTTGGTAAGTATAAATAATTTTTAAAAATTCAAAAATATTTTTTTGATATTTATTTTTGTCAAATTAGTTTATATTTTATCAAATTGACAACTTTGTCCTTAAACTTGAGCAATAGTATCTTCTATTGTTCTTATTTGAAACAATATTCAAAATTCATGGTTAAATGTGTCATAATTAAAAAGTCAGGAATCAAAATGACACATGTCCCAAACTATGGGGATCGTTAGTGTAATTTGCTCTAAAAATTAAATTAAATAAAATAATTAGAATCACTTTTAATTTTATATTACTAATGCTCTTTCTAATTCAACTATTATTTTTAATATCTTCTAATTTAATATATATCATATGAAATTATTATATGATAATTACACTTTTATACCACAATATAACTAAAAGTGTCAAAACAAACTAATAATTTAACTAAATTTATTATATATATGTATTCAAATAACATTTTTATAGAATGATAAGATTAAGATTATTAAAATAAATAATTTAAATTAATATCATTCTTTTGTAACACATGTTATAATATAAAATATCATTACATTAATTAAAGTTAACTCTATTGTAATTTTCTGTTAGATATCATATTTGTAGAAGTGATTTACATACATGTGTAGCGTCCAAATTGATATGATTGATTAAAATAATGGAACTCAATATTTTTTTTTTTTTGAGTTTTTAGAAGATAAATTGACAAATGTTAAATGATAAATAGTGTGAAGTGTTATTTTAAAGAATAATGATTCATCGAAAATGATTGTGTATATTTAAAGCACCTATTGATTTTTTTTGGAATAATTTTTAAATAAAAATTTTAAATTTATAGTATTACTGATAATGCACCTTCATGAGCTTTGTCAGAAAAGATATACAAAAATAATTTGGCTAGGATAAAAAATTTACGGTTATTATGATGTGTCACATAATTAATCAAAACCTTTTTAGAACTGAAATTATTAAGATTATAGAAATTTTGTGCCTGATTCCGTTTGAAGACATTGTTTATGATTTGAATTTATAATTTATTATGTATCAATATGTGTTATGATCTTACTGATATAAGCATAAATCATACCTTTAAGTTAACCCTCCTTAAGCATATTTTTGTGTAATAAGATACTTAAATATTGTCATATAAAAATATTATCATAGATCATAATCAAACAACACTTGAAACATAATTAAAGACTGTACAACTTTTTTTTTTTTTTTTAGAGAATATGAAAAATATTTATATTAAAAAATAACAACATACACTTTAGACATAACTAAAAACATAATAAATTAGCAGAGACCTTTTCGATTAATAACCATAATAATACACCATGAGTTATAATAAAGTCATAATTTGTATATTATAGAAATTTTCAATGTTTTTACTTTTTGTTTTTTTTTTAAAAAAATAATATTTTGATACAAGTGAAATTCATGATTTTTAGTAAATTTGATTGACATAAATGAAGATTTAATTTTAGGTTGAGAATACATTTTATTTATTTATTTTAAGAATTTTGAAAGAAATTATTTTTATGAGCTTTTTACATAAGATCACACACGATGAGAAAATTTTCCATAAGCCATTAGCAAATTTGTTTATATTTGGATTTTAATTATTAAATTTTTCTACACACAAAGTATTAAAACTCAAAATCAAAATTTTATTTTAAAAATAAATTCCTGCGCAAAGAGATTTTGGGTTTGATTCCCCTTGTAGACATTGTTTATGATTTTGAATTTCTAATTTGTTATGCATAAATATAAATAACTATTACGATCTTACTGACATAAGCATAAATTTTACCTTTAAGTCAATCCACCTTAAGCACTTTTTTCGTATAATAAAATACTTAAATATTGTCATATAAAAATATTATAAGAAATCAAAATCAAACACCACTTGAAGTATAATTTAAAGATCCGGTGTACCACTTTACACATAACTAAAAACATAAGAAATTAACAAAGACCTTTTCGATTAATAACTAAAATAATACACTATGAGTTATAATCAAATCTTAATTTGTACATTATAGAATTTTCTACTGTTTTTATTTTTTTTTAGAAAAAAATATTTTGATACAAGTGAAATTCATAATTTTTAATAAATTTGATTAACACAAATGAGAATTTAATTTCAGATTAAGAATAAATCTTTTTTTAAAAAACTTTGAAAGAAATTATTTTTATGAGCCTATTTTATATAAAAATTTTCATCAACTATTAACATATCTATTTATATTTAACTTTTAATTATTAAAATTTTTTATACATTAAATATTAAGATTCAAAATTAATTTTTTATTTTACAATTAAATTTTCGTGCATCGCACAGTTTAATAATACTACGGACACCTAAGAAACGACCAAAGAAATGATCAAACGCCTATTTAGGGTTAGCTTGGCATAAACTAAATAATATAAAAAGTCAAAAAGTCACTATCCTATTTAAGTCACATCATCTTATTTAAATTACATCACCTCTCTAACACATCATATCAAATCAAACCCAAATTCAATCCATATAAATTAATAAATTAAAAAATACATTTTTTAAAAACATTCCAAACCAACCCTAAGGGTTGATTAGCAAAGAGCCCACCATGAAAGCCTAAACAAATATAGGGAGAGAATAACTACTCTCACGTGAGTCTATTTTGATAAAAATTATAAAATAATCTAAAACAACCTATAAATTATATTTAAAAATAAAGTGAGTTTGGTAAAATAAATAAAAATAAAAATACTCATCATTTTTTATATATTTTTATTTTTGAAACAAAATTAATTTTTTAAAATTAAATTTTTTTAGTATTTATTTTGATTAAAGTAATTAAGAATAAAAACTCAATCGAATACGAATTGTAACCTTTAGTTTTGATTATAAACCTTATTGAGATTAAACTTCTCAAATTAAAATAAATAAATAAATAAATAAATAAATAAAATGAAAAAATAACAATTTATCAAGATTAAAATTTAAAAAAAAAAAAATCAGTGACTTCAGTTTGTCGAGATGAATCTACAAAATCAAAATAAAAAGAGAAGCCTATATAAGACCATGCTAAATCAAACTCATTTTTGAAAAAATAAAAAATAAAATTTGTTAATTAAGATACCAAAGCACAACAAGTCTCTGATTTAGCATGGCCGAGGTGAGGATAGAGAATAATAATAATAAAATAAATTACAAACCCAATTTTGTTGAACAAGTGGAATTTTTTTAAAAAAAATAAATTAGTTCCAACACCTAATTATTAAAAATATATATATAGTTAGCGGGGATAGCCCCACCCCTATCCTTCCCTACATCTTTTTGTATAGTTTGGATTACGTGAAATATACCGCAGTGATAGGTAGCTCGAAACCGAGCGGCTCGAAATGGCTCGAATTAAAAAATGGCCTCGTTTGTCAAAAGAAATAACATTATATCTATAATTTGCTCATGATTTCCATGTGTATAATGTTATTTCTTTTAAAAATGAGCAAATTATATATACCTCTCTTGAGGTTTGATTAAATTATAGATATTTTTTTTGAGGTTTCGAAAATTACATCCCGCCTCTTGAGGTTTGTATTTTCATAATAATTTGTCCTTTAAGGTTTATATTTCATAACAAATTATTTCCTAATTTATTATGTAAATATAGCATTTAGGGAGAAATTTATAATTTTTCAAATCTCAAAAGTATTTATAATTTAGTCAAATTTTAAGGGGATATATGTAATTTGTTCTTTTAAAAAAAAATGAAAACAAAACAAATAAATAAAAAAAAAAAGAAACAGAGAGAAAGCAACAAAGGTCAACATAAGCCAAAAAGGCAGTCGGTCATTCCGTACCATGATTTGCACGTGTATGATGTTATGTTTTAAAAAAAAAAAAGTGAAAACAAAATAAATAAAAAAAAAAAAAAGAAGAAAGAAAGAGAAAGTAAGAAAGGACAGCAGGAAGAAAGAAATAAGAGCAATGCTATAGACCACTAATTTATCATTAC